ACCCTGAGCACTGGGCTAACTCTCAAAGCCACAGGTCTGGAGTGAAGACAAGCAGCACTCATCTCAGCTCTGCGACATGCCTTGATACTGAGCTATTTTCACCTGTGTTTTCCATGAGTTCCTGGAGCACGGGTGTCATCAAGACAAGATTTTCAGAAGAAGACAACAGAAGTTAAAAACCATGTTCCCGGGCAGGGTTGTTCTCAAAGTCTGCAAGAAGACGATCGACTCTATCGTTCCTCTCAGCTGACCAACAAGGACCATGGGTGCTTTGAACCCAACCCTACCAGAGGGAGAACAGGGCCAGATTTCCCTCTGAGCGCTGCATTCCTGAGACAAGATCACTGCAACACAGCAAGAAGCGAGGAACCGGATGGGAGCTCAGCATGGCCGTGTCTCAAACTGCACCGCTACCAACAGAATGCCAATGCAAGCCTTCCAGATTTGCCTCTCCCTGATATATTTTGTACTATACACACAAATTGTAGTCTTTTTAATAAATAGAGTCTTGCAGAATAGCCTTCCTAAACATGCTAAGCTGTTCCTAAAATACTGATATGGAGAAAAATGCAGTCTTTGTGATGTTCCTTTGCTCTGATTTTTTTCACAACTGCTAGAAAGGGGCCTGCTATCCTCTTAATTAAAATGTATTCCTTACCACAAGACTTCACTATTTTAAGCTAAAATTTACATCTTTTATTAACTCGCCTCACCTATACACTTAGCTGGCGATGCCTCTCAACGCCCATCTGCCATCCGCGTACAGTTAAGTCACTTGATATTCCACCCACCAATTTTTCCTAACAACCACTGTGCAATTAAACCCAACACGTTCTGTTGCGAGGTAAATTAGGCACACCTGCGGCCAGACTTCATTTGAACTGCATCAGAAAAGGACCTAACAAGGTGAGAGCGTACCACAAAGTTATAGGCCTGTCAAGCAATTAGGTTTTCACTTCTGGGACATCCGCACAGTGCAATTATGCTACACATTACAACCTGGCTAATCTTCTGAACAAATGTCATGTCTCGGAGAAGCTAGTAAAAGCAGTTCATCTGCAAATGCGTCTGCTCTTAAGCCTCCACCTTATGCACATAACAACCTAGGGGAGACTTTTTTGTGATATGAAAGATGGGGTTTTTTTTCCGTAGAAGATTTTTTAAACCCTGCAAGTGTCTTTTCATCCTTTTCACCTCTTCTTAACCTCTTTGAGAGGAGGTGTTGCAGCAAATAGACCAGAAAGACTTTTGTACTTGAATTTCAGCACTAAGCAAGAAAGTACTGGATATTACAAGCACAACCAGTGGCTTTAGTTTGGTCCAATTCAAATATCGCTTGGCTAAAGGAATATTTGTGGTGGAAAACCACCTATTACCTCCTAGAAACATCATTAGTAAAAGCGTATTTCCACCAGACCCCAAACAGAAGCGGCATTCATGCAAATAAACCCCAGCAGGAAGTAAACGTTTAATTCTTTGTATTTCAGGTACTGAATGTACTACACCCTCAACCAAAATCTGCACTGACGATAGGTGGGTTCTCTGGTAAGGAAGCTAGCTGAAACCCGTGGTGACAAACAGCTTCCACCTCTTTATCAAATAAGGTCTTCCCTACGTCCAGTTCAAACCGGACAGAGGACAGAAAACGGCATCAGCACTGCCGGCACCGTTTTGCTTTACTCCAGTAATTCTGTTTCATTTCCATCTGTATTTCAGGTACACGGTTAGTGCATTCAATTAAGCCTACAGATGAGATCTTGCTATAGTACAAAATACAGAATTGTTAAGATATGACAAGCCTGCTCTACTTTCACGAGTAAAAAAAGCTCGTATTTGGATCATTATCCGCGATTCTGAAGTTCTTTGGAGGAGAAGCTGTCCGCAGGGGCACAATGCTGTTACAGGGTGGAGGCAGGAGAGAGCAAGGCAAGAGGAGACATTTGAAGTCAAATGGTAATTCTCATCCTTTACTCTATTACCCTTTAATTGGCTTTTTCCTAAGAAATATCTGACAAGCACTTTGCATATCTCTTTTCTAGAGCCTAGTAAACAAAGGATTTAATACTCTTGTTATGAAAGGAAAAATCTTTCCTCTGTCAGAAAATCTTTGGTTTTAGCAGCAATAAACTCTTTATTACTGCTAAACTTGGATTTGCTGCTCGATCGCAAAGAGGCGATAAAAACTCTAACCTGTCATTAGTGCATTATGCTTAATTGTGTACAGTATGTTTCCAGTTGCATCTGTTGGCCCATTATCAAAATGACCATTATGTACACTAATTCCCTGACCCTGTCTTTATTTCCCTAAAGAGTCATAATCTTTCACAGTAGGTATCAGAGTAAATCAAGCTTGAAATATGGGCTTTATTTACTTGTTTCTCCCAGGCAGAGTGGAAGACTGTAGCTAAAGACAAACTGCTGTAGATAAGTAGCAACTGCGTTGTAATATTCTACTAGGAGGAAGGGTGGAATCTCATGGGTGACTACTGGAAGAGCAAAAGACGTCACCCTGTTTCCTTTTCAGTCGGGTTCTCTATTGTTATCGGAGGTAACGTGAGGATAACATTTGCCTCTGGTTTGTAGTTCAACCTCAGGAGTTGCAAAACTGTTTGGAAACGACGAAGCCATTAAGATCA